AAATCCCGGGAGAAGAGTTAAGAGAACTTAAGACCTTGTTGAAAAAGGCAATTATGGAGATTCAAAGGATTTCAAATTTCAATTCATTAATGACTGATTCTTAAATGAAGAGCAGCAGCACCAGTAGCTGCAGCAAACGTGTGATCGTAMRTAGGGGCTGCAYGCGATTTGTGCTGCTGTCAGCTGGTAAAGGGGGTGAAACACCCATCAATTTTTTTTCCCCAAGCAAACAAGGGCAAGCATGGAGTTTTGCACAGAGTTTCTGCATGTTAGGGCACAGCCACACCACTCTCAAAATGTGCAAAATGAGAATGAACTTCCCGCTAGAACGTGGCCAGATGCACCTGCCACATTTTTGTCTTTTTCACATTTCGAGAGTGGTGTGGCGAGGCCCTTAGTCAATCCAAGCTGGATGTGGCAAGAAGTCAGTGGCATCATAAGCAGGCTGCTGATGTTTTCTTTTTCTTTTTTTTTATCTTTTTTTTCCCGGGAAAGCCCTTTCCCAAGTCCACTATCCTGGCTGCTGATGTTTTACATTCTCAGCGGTTGGGGTCTTTGACCGGACGGAAGCGGTTGATGTGTAGTACCAGGGGTTGCCGGGTCGTCGAGCTGACGGCTGGTGCTTTTTTAGATCTTCGCTTTTCGGTCTTTGAGCTCGGTCGTTGGCTATTTGATCGAGCCGCTCATGCCTTGGATCGCGGTTGTCGAGTCTTTTTGATCCCGTGGTTGATGTTTTGGACCTCGTTTGTTACGTCGTCAGAGGTCGTCGATCTGACCGTTCATGTCGTACACATTTCGGTTGTTTCGAGTCTTTGTTCCTACGGTTGATGTTTTTGTTTTGTTAGGGCTTTGATCCGAACGTTGATGTCGTAGATTTCGGTTGTTGAGTCGTTGTTCCCGCTGTTGATGTTTTATATCTCGGTTGTTGGCTCATCGATTCAACATTGGAGCTTTTGTGTGACGTCTCTGCTGAAACCATTGGATTGGAGAGACAGGAAAAATCAGCACGGATGTAGTTTACTTTGGGGCTGCTGGACATTGCATGGACAGCCCCAGGAAATCAAGTTGCTGGTGGAAAGATGGATGTTTTTTTGGTGCCCAGTTCTTTTTCAATCTTGTAAGGCCAGGTGGGCCTGTTCTCTGCGAGGGGCATGAATTGTTCAAATTAAGGTGCAATTTCCATGGCACACGTGAAGAGTTGCAGATCGTCATGTATTTTATTCGCTCAGGTAAGTGCGGACGACACTGGTCAGGACGTTCTGATGTTTGGAATTATCCTTTGACAGTATGTTATATATATTACTCGGTGGCGTGAGGAATCAATTTTCTGGTTTTCAAACTTTTTCACCTGTGTAGCAACACCGAACGTGCTCGGAGCGTTGGCAAAGGCCCGAACACGTTCGGGGAACGTGTTCGGCCGAACGTTTTTTTTTCAATTGATTTAAAAAAACAAAAAATATTTGCTTTTTTTTTTAACTCGCGTTTGGCTAAGAATTTGAACATGGCTCAGAGGCAAAAGTTGCTTGTCTTATTTTTTTTACATAACATTTTTTTTTTCAGATTTTTCTGAGTTTTTTTTTATATTATATATTTCTATGTTCACGTTTGGAGGGTTTTGGTGGTCGTTCGTGTTCCGGTCGCGACGTTCGGTTTTGGTCGCCAAATGCGAACATGATGCTACACAGCTTTTCACAAGGCACTGAAGGCAGGCATTTTTTGTGCTTTCTACTGTTCACAAATTAAGGCTTGCAATGCTGACAGGAATCACAGGAATCAAATTGTCCTCACTTAAATTCAGGAATTCATTCATGTCGAGCTCTCTTGCCCGGCAACAACCCAAGTATCTCCGATCGATATGACAACTCTTGCCTTGAAATGATTATTTCGAAATATTTGGTCACTTCGGTCTTTTTTTGTTTGTTTCTTTCTTTCTTTTTTTTTTATCTTTTTGTGACCATTTCTTGATGTATGCATGACATCCTTGTGCAGGGGTCATGCATGCTGATTTTCTGTTTATCGTTTTAATTTGGACGGATGTCGTGAAGTACCTATGGTGCTTGCAGGGTTTTACTTAGATGCAGAGCTTCCATTTCATGTTGGAAAACACAAGTAGCAATTGGATGCTGAAAGAGCCAATGGGCCGACAGCAACTCTGCATTTTTACTTACATCATTTTAGATGTACATCACCAAGGCTCTTTTTGCCGACTTGGATTCTGCTGTGTGCCAAAAGAAAAAAGTCGGCGCAGGCGTGAATCATTTTTTCTTTTTTTTGCCTGATGCCGGTAGCCCTTTTAGTGCAGCAGCCAAAGGCCCTGTCCAGGCAGCGGGTGAAGACCATCGCGGCGGAACAAAATAACTGGGAAACGGCGTTTTGGTTCGAAAAATCCGAAATAGCATCCCACATTGTGGCGGTAATTGTCGAAACCGGCTGCGAATGGGATGTCCTCGAGAATTACTCTTCAGTTGGTCTAGAAACAGGTGCATGCAATTGTTGGGGGGGCAAGTGGGGTGCTGGGAGGAGAGGAAAGGGGGGAGGAGGAGCGGGGGGGGGGGGTTTGCAGGGTGTACGGGGCTGGAGGCTCTGAATTACCTGGGGAGGGTCAATTTGATGATGATACCTCAACGTCGTCGCCCATTTATGTCCTATTTCAAAAACAAAAACAAAATGTTGTGCTCACCTGCTGTGGATTAAACCACCAGGACATCCCACAGGATTTTGCGGGACGTGCATTAACACCTTTCCTCTTTTCCAAGGTCTCTTTTTTTCCCTGGCCTCCTTTTCTGTGTTGACTCTGTTTGTGCAAAACATTAACCCGCACTGTGCTGAAAAAATCTCTTTATGATATTTTGTGCATTGGAGACCATTTTTCTCTCCTTCTTGCACAGTTGAATAACGCACATGGACATTCGAGCCCCCTTCACACTTTGCCGAAAGTTAAAGCCTGTATTTTGACCAACGATTCATCGAAGGAACTCACTTTGATGAAAATTCCTTGGGTTAACCTTATCAAGTGTTTCTAACCCAGCAAAAGTCCGAAACAGACCTCTCTCTCTCTCTCTCTCTCTCTCTCTCTCTCTCTCTCTCTCTCTCTCTCTCTCTCTCTCTCTC